CTCAATATTATTTTTAGTGCAATTTTTTATTGGCCAAGTATGTTTATTGTGGCGTAACATTTTTTTGATCATCAATTTACTCAAAATCAATTTATAGTCTCGGAATCCACTTTTAATAGATCAGCTCCCATATGATAGTCACGCTTAAGGAATTATCGATTCGTGAGACTTTAGAACCAAAGTGGAATATTTAGTCAAATTGTTTGAAACTCAAGTTTTCGAAGAAAATTGTTTTACAATAGATTAATATTTGATTAAAATCTAACGGCCGAAAAGCCTGATAAAATGTTAGTTATGATATGTGATGCAGTAACCAAGGCTTATACAGCAGCCATGGAATCCAATATGGAATACAAACATTTCTTGAAGAAAGAACAATTCCCTAGCAGAGATATATTGCGAACTGTTTTCATAATCGATTTCATTTATGAAAGCGTCCATTATAAATTTACCGCTACTAGATCAGCTTCAGACTCTTTCACGCTTTTACTTGAATAGATCAAGGGTGTAAGTTTCTGTTCAATGGTGGATTATTAGTTTTGTTAGACGAAAAAAAGCCATGCTTGTTATTTTCGAAAAGAAGTTTAAGGAATAAGATTGATGATTAATAGTAAACTTGTTTACTTCAACAAGAAAATGATCCAACACAATTTCGTTCACTCTCTCCTGGAAAGCTTGTGAAATTTTTGGTGGAGTCTGGCGATCATGTAAAAAGAGGTGATGCTTACGCTGAAATTAAAGTCTTATAAATTTTATCAATTCGTAAAAGACCATTTTAAGTTTTATTTTTTTATATCATCTAAATTATTTATTTTAACATTGATATTATTTAGGTGATAAAATTCACATGCCGTTTATCGCAACAGAAGATGGTATTGTTCAATTTATAAAGACCCTAATCAGTTCAGTTCATTACGCATTATATTTTAAGGTACAACTTTCTGTAATGAATCCGCCCGTTTTAGTTGGTGACAAAGCTCATCAGAGATATTGTAAGGTCGAGCATATTTTTGAATGTATATTGGATGGTTATGATAATCAAGCAATATTACACAAAGTAGCGTCAAAGAATTAATTGAACTTTAGATAATTCAAATCAGAATCTCATACAATACTTTAAGCACTCTCCGGTAGATCCCGGCCAAACTTGAAGCAGCTTTATTGAGAATTTCTAATGAGACGCATAGTCAAGGATTAGAATATCCTGCAAAATGATTAAAAGAAATGGATGATAATTATTCTCTCGATTTTGTAAAATCTTCAGACCTTTCAAGTTTTAAATCTGTGATCACTCCTGTGAATGATATTCTTAAACGATATATTTGTGTCTAAAACACTTAAAGTGGAATGATATCACTTATTTGTTAAGCAAGTATCATGATGTTAAAGTTTTGTTTTCAAATTCGGACAAACGTGAAGAAGAAGCAAGCTATCCATGCTTTACGGGACAAATACAAGAATGTTCTGGACAAGATCGTCTCTATTATTTTGTCACATTCCAAAGTTGAGGCAAAGAATAATCTGATATTACATAATTTAGATCAGATTAGGCCCGCAAATGTTTAACAAGTTCTATTCACCGATTTTGAAAAAAATTTGCGGAACTTGGAAGACGTTTTACAACCAAAATTGCATTGAAGTCGCGTGAATGATTGATTTATTGTCAAACTTAACTTCTTACGAAGAAAGGTATGCTCAAATGGAACAAATATTGAAGGCTGCAGTTATAAAGTGTAAATGATGGTTATGATTACCGAACCCCAAGTTATGATTCTTTCAAAGAATTAATTGATACGCGATTTGCTGTTTTCGATGTACTTCAGAATTTTTTTTTATTATCAAGATAGTTGGGTTGGGCTTGCCGCATTAGAAGTTTACGCTCGACGCGCTTATCATGCCTATCAACTTATAAATGTTGAATACCACACAGATCAAACCCCATTGGAACTTCTCGTTTCATATTGCTACGATTGATAGTCCAATTGGTTCGATCGAAAGCCCCTCATTTTTTAGTATGAGACGTTCAACGCCGATGGATCTTGATCCACCTGGCATTTTTGTAGAAACCCTATTTATTCCTCCTATATCGTGTCCTGAACCAATAGATCTTGTCTTGATCCTCCTGGTATATATATGGCTATTGATTATGGCTTTTATCCCTTCCTCCTCCGTTTTTAACTGGTCACTTCTTTTAGTTTCGTCGTCTTGACCGGCACTTAAAAAAGTTTTCAAAATATTTTTTTAAAAAAAAAAAAAAAATATTATGCATTCGATATTATTTTGAGGTGAATTTTAATTTAATTCTATTTATTTCATGTTTTTAATTTATACCTATTATATTCATTTTATTCATTTGCACTTTCTTTTTTTTCACCTCAAGTGATCATCACATTTGATATGTGATGGTTTAACTTTCTTTAACCTGAACATCTCTACGTGATATTCAGGATAAACGGTTATAGTTTAAGCGTTTACGTTCTTTTAAATGTGGCAATTACATATATATTTTTGTAAAACTAAATAAAAACTTTGAAAATCTTATAATAAAATTTTTATTATTTCTCGAAGACTCTTTTTCAATATTATATAATAAAGATACGATAACATTTTCTCACTGTAATTAAATAGCGTAATGAATTGAATCAGGCAATAAGAGATTAAGATTTCGAGTCTTTTTTATTTTTCAACCCTTTATTTATATCCTATAGACTTTTTTTATGAACTTTACAAATTATAATTTTTTTAAAATTTATTTGCGGAATGCGCATACAAAAAAACAAGGTAAATAAATATTTATGTTATAATAAAAATTTTCACAACAACAATTATAATTACCATATGGTTACAACTTTACGCATTTTCTTGATAATATAATAGAATGAAATGAAGTATTTAAAAGGAATTAATTACCTGTGTGATGAAATTAAGTGCATCTACTTTGCAAAACGTGACACTTTATTTGAAAATGTCACTCCATAAAATTTTCCTGTCAAAGTTAGTTGTGATGAGTTGCTTTTTTAAATAATCATAAGTCAAAAATAAAATATAAATGTAAGAAATGAAATGTAAGAAAAAATGCATGCAATACTAATAAATATGTAACAGCATTATATATTGTGCGTCAAGAGCAGCATCAATTTCATCGAATAAATAAAATAGCGCTGGGTCGTTATATTTGTGTAAGAGCTACTAATGACTATTAACCTATACCCTTAGATTAACGAATCTTATTGAATAAAATGTAATATCGTAAAAAGAGCAATATAAAAATATTATCAACAAACATTGACTCATCACCAATAAACTATTGGATGAAATTAGGTCTGTGTAACATTTAAAATGATTTGAAAAATCTTCATCTGGTCTGGTTGCAACCTAATAAGTTGCAACTAGTTGCGGACTTTATATTAAAATTCTTATATTTAAGACTCTGCAACTGGTTGCAACCAACATAGTAGTTGGATCCATCTTTAGTAACATTTAAATTCTCGCGATTTTTAAATATTTTGTTTAAAATGTTAGATAATAAAACATTAATATATTTTTTTATTTATTATTATATGCTTTAAATAGTATTAAATTCTTTATTAACCTTTTTTTTATTTATATTTCAGATATAAAATTAATAAAAAAGAGAATTTCGCGATGCTTTCTAAGGGAAATTCGCGTTTAGTGTTAAAGTAGTATATTATGCTTTATTAAACTTTCTTTATTTAGAATTTTTAATGTAAAATTTTTATCTATTTTATTAGATTATTAAATAAACTTTCACCATTCAAGCTTTATATATATTTTTTTATAATTACATACTAGAAATTGTAAATTTTAATAGCAATATTTGTGCTTTATTTCGTACCCTTGACATTCTTTCCTTCACCTTCACGCATTTTTAAAAAGAAATATTTTATTAAATAAAATAAGCGATATCATACCCTTTCCAAGACAAAATTTATAAAAGCAAAACGTACATTAAAGAATCAAAACCCGCGAATATTATGAATATATATATAAATATATATATAAATTAATTATCACGTCTGTAAAAATAAGCAATAGTCTTCCTATATATACATGTAAATGCTAAAATATCACATATAAATATTTCACGCTAGGAATCTTCACCCCTACCTTAAGGAAAGCCGTTTTTCGCAGGATGCTTTCTTAAAAGTTATCACGCCATTTAAATTCATATATAAATGTTTGATAAAACTATACCAAATCCGACAATCCTCATTAATTACAAAATAAAAAAAAATATAAGTACCAGGAGAAAAAATAACCGAAAATATCATTAATATATAATATATAACAAGTTTCAGAACATGAAATTGAGAACAATAACAAACATAATACTGATGTTTTCTTCAAGTTTCTGCGGCAAAAAAATGGTTGGATCAGATTTTATGTGATAAGGTATTGAAGGCATAAAGCGGTGGAGATAATAAGTTCAACGTGGACGTTAAATACTCCAATTACGATCAAAGCAACCTTTGGAGAATTGTGCGGCCTAAACCTGCGGAACGAGTGTGATTGAACCGTTAGGTGCAAGCTGTTCCGGAGAGATGGAGGATGAGTATGGATTGATAAGGTTATGCTTTGGTAAAACAATTTCAATTAAAGGAGGCACCCCAATTTTCAGAATTTGATATAAATATGCGAAGGCAAACTTTAGGTTTGATGGTGATCCACAAATATCCCCCAATTAATCGGACTTTGTTTTGGTCCTCGTGAATGAAATGATTTTCATTATAACCAAAGGTATAACTTTTCATGCTAATCAAAACAACCCTAAAATATCACTAAACTTCCACTAAATTTAACTGCAAGTTAAATACAATCTTGTTGCATTCTGTGAAAATTTAAGAATTCTCATACGTATATCTTTTGCGTTGTCTAAATCTTCTCCTCACAATTTCTGTGTTTTTTTTTTTTTTTTTTTTTCGTAATTACAAAACTCTCTTAAAATTTTAATAAAATAAATTATATATATCCATTCTTAGAATGAAAAAATTTGTCGCTCAATAAGAAATTACATAGTACAACATAACGATAACTATTTTAGAAAAAAAATTTTTTTACAGTTACACCGATCAGTGGCTTAGAAATTTTGATAAACGAAACGTTGCATGATCTACCGAGCGCATTTTTTTCCTCAAAATTTTTATTTCTTCCGCTCGTTAGCTAAATATTTCAATTACATAAAAAATCAACATGCAAACTGGCAATAATATAAATGAATGGATTGAAGAATATATTTCAGACAAAGATATCAAATACTACGAATACGAACATTTTAGCAACTTTCAAGAGATTGGTAAAGGCGGCTTTGGAAAAGTCTATCGTGCAAATTGGAAAAATTCAAAGCAATACCGTGCGTTAAAATCATTTCATTGCATTAACAATGACACTATTAAAGAACTTGTTCGTGAGGTAATTACAAATGCAATATTGTAAATCAGTCTATTTAGTATAATTATCAAACTTAAATATATATTCGTAACAATTTAGCTCGAACTTCATCGTGGAGTTAATGATCATAGTAATATTATTCGCTTTTATGGGATAACTTCAAAACAAAGTAAATGAAATAGTTTATTAAATATTTATAATGATATTGATATTTTTTATTTTAATTTTAACTAATTTATTTATTTTTAAAAATTAGAAAAACAAAATGATCAATTGAAAAAGTATTGGTTAGTGATGGAATATGCCGATAACGGTACACTTAGAAACTATTTGAAGGAAAATTTTGATAAACTTACTTGGGATGATAAACACAAATTTGCATACCAGTTGGCTAGCGCTGTTTCATATTTACATGAAGAAGGAATTGTGCATCGTGATTTGGTTGGTAATCTTACATAATATACATTTGATTCCAATACTGTTAGCGTTAATAAATAATTTTAATTTTTTTATTTTTATATACATAGCATTCCAATAATATATTGATTCATCAACATGTAATTAAACTAGCAGATTTTGGATTATCTAAAAGAATTGAAGAAGCAACTAAAAAACATTCAGAAGTATTTGGTGTACTTCCTTATGTTGATCCCAAAAGATTTGATAGGCAGAGGAAAAATGAACATACATTTCAACCATATACGCTAAATAAAAAAAGTGACGTTTACAGCGTTGGCGTGCTGTTATGGGAGATATCAAGTGGTAGATCGCCTTTTTATGTTAAAGGTGAAGAATGTGACTTTACT